CGGGTGGGCGACCCGCCGGACCCCGCCCCCGACCCCCCCGCCGCCATTCCGGGTCCCGAGGAAAACGCGCCCAGTACGGACGCCGCCACCACTGCCGTACCCACGTGGCAGGAGGTGGGCTTCACGGAGGCCCCCACCACCATTTTCAAAGTGAGAAGCGAAATTTTTGCTGGTGGTGGGTTATAGATGGGGGGTGTTGAGGTGGCTGGTGTGTGGGGGGGAGGTAAGGTGGGAGGATGGAATAAAGCATCATTGTGGGTTTTCTTCCATCTTTCTTCCCCCCCTCCCGGCCCCAGGCCCCGGTCCAGGCCCCGGCCGCAACCCTCATTCCCCCCAACACACAAACACGCACACACACATACACACACATACACACACGCACTGCTTGGTTTCCCCTCTCCTCCCCCTCTTCTCTCCTCCTCATCCTCTTCAAAATCCCACCTTCATTCCGCGCTCTGCCACTGTCCCAAGCCAGGGCGGCGAGACGGAGGCTCTTAAGCGGCTGTCCGCCTCCCTCGCCGACAGCAAGTGGGTGGCGGACTTTAAGAAACCGGACACCGACCCGGCAGCCTTCGAGCGCCCCGCCACAACCGTCCTGTCGCCGTACGTCAAGTTCGGTTGTCTGTCCCCGCGCCTCTTCCACGCCCGGCTGCTGGAGGTGTACCGGCGACACCGGGGGCACTCGCAGCCGCCCGTGTCGCTGAGGGGGCAGCTGCTGTGGAGGGAGTTCTTCTATACGGTGTGTTAGTGCCAACTTGAGTTACGCGTGTGCCATGCGTGTGCGCATGCGTGTGTGCGCTTGCGCATGCGTGTATATGTGCGTGAGTATTTGCGGGTGTGTGTGTGTGTCTGTGTGTGTTTGGCATGTGTGTGTGTACGTGTATCTGTTACACATCGATCCGGGCCTGACACTATCCAGGGGCACCTAACCGTACCAATCCTCCGCCACTGCTCTGCTCTGCTAAGTGTATAGATCTTCTGATTGTTGGTGAGAGCTCCCCCTCCAGCCGCCAAGAAGCGCACTGGAGGAAAACCCAGTGTCTCATCTCACCCCAGCATTCGAAACCCGGTCTCTTTCACCCGGGGCGGGGGGGAAACAGCGGTGGGACCCGAACACACATCGTCCAATATATAGCTAGATACTGTCTCTGGGATTCGAACTTCCGACTTGCCGATTTCTGGCCCGGTGCTGTGCCAACTTGAGTTACGCGTGCGTGCATGCGTGTGTGTGTGTGCGCATGCGTGTATATGTGCGTGAGTATTTGGGAAGGGCAGGGTTTGCCGGGTAGCGGCCACAGGGTGAAGATATGACTCCCCTGTCACACACATCATTCGTACATACATACATACATACGTACATACATACATACATACACACTCCTCTTCCCAGGTGGGCGCCCACACGCCCAATTTCCACCGCATGGATGGCAATCCGCTGTGTAAGCAAATCGACTGGGACGATGACGAGGAGCTGCTGGCGGCTTGGAGGGAGGCCAGGACCGGTGGGTGGCGTGGGCGGGGGTGGGGATGGTGGGGTGGATGGGTGGGTGGGGGAGAGAAAAGGGAGGGGAGAGAAGGGGCCGCAGCAGGGTCCCGAAGGCATACAGGGACATTGAGGAACGTGCATGCGCGCGGAGAAGGGCGAGGGGCCGGCAGTGGGATCGCGCCTCCTTATGCCCTTATGTGATCTGTGCACTCACCCACTTTGTGTTCATAACTCGACACACACATACCGCCTTTTTCCCCCGCCCCCGCCCCTCCCAGGCTTCCCCTGGATCGACGCCATCATGACTCAGCTGCGGCAGTGGGGCTGGATGCACCACCTGGCCAGGCACAGCGTGGCGTGTTTTCTTACCCGGGGGGATTTGTACGTCAGCTGGGAACGGGGCATGCAGGTGTTTGAGGAGCTGCTGATCGACCAGGTGCGAGTCGGCTGCGTGTGTGTATGTGCGTGTGTGCGTTTTGGGGGCGAAAAGGAAAGGAGGGGGCCTGGGGTCGGGGGGGATGGAAAGTGGTACGAGAGGCGGGAAAGGGGGAGGGGAAGGGACAGATGCACCCCAACGCGGTATTCGGACGCGAAGGGACAAAGGCCCCACCCTGGAGCAAGAAATACCTAGACCAGTAAAGAGAACGAGGGTGGCTGAGAGGGGTGTCAGTCGAAAGGGTGTGGCGCTGGCGCTGCCGGGGCCACCGCTTCCGGCCCGTGACGAACACGGCAAACCCCCGAGGGACGAGACGCATGTGTCTGGATGGGAAGGGAGGGAAGGGGGCCATGTCTCCCCCAACGGCCGTGGGCCGCCCCTCGTCCTTTCCCGCAGTCTTCCTCTCCTTCTTGCTCATATAATGTACCCCTCTCTCTCCCCATCTCTCTCCCCCGCTCTCTGTCTCCCCCTCTTCCGCACGGTCTGCCTCGCCGCATATTCAGAAAATTGCGCAAAAAAACCCTGATAAAATTGATATTGATAAATGATTTGTCGAAATACAATATAGAAAAGTCAGCATTGCAAAAGATCCTCTTATCCGTGCTCGGGCCGGTTTGTCTTGCGCATTATTGGTGTATTCCCTACTCCCCCGTCAACGCTTTCCCCAAGCACCCCACCCCTCCCCTTCCCCCCCGTCCCCGTCCCCGTCCCATGTGTATTGCCGTACAGGACCACTACCTGAACGCGGCCAACTGGATGTGGCTCTCCGCCAGCGCCTTCTTCAGCCAGTACTTCAGAGTGTACAGCCCGATCAGCTTCGGGAAGAAGTACGATCCGGAGGGGAAGTTCATACGCAAGTGAGAGAGATCCCCCTCCCCCCTGTATGCAGTGGCCGCGGTTGGGGGGATTGTACTGGTGGTTGTAGATGTGATGACTTATCCTTCACTTATGCTTTACCCTCCTCCCATCTCACCACCCCTCTGTTCGCAACCCCGTTTCCACTCACCACCCCCCATACACACACTCAAACTAAGAGTCTTTTTCCCAACACACGCCTCCACTGCCCTCCCTATCCACCCACTATACAAACACACACACGCACAAACACACATGCACATGCACACATACGCAGGTTCCTTCCGGTCCTCAAGGATATGCCCTCCAAGTACATCTACGAGCCCTGGACAGCCCCGTCCGAGGTGCAGCGCCGGGCGGGTTGCGTCATCGGCCGGGACTACCCGCACCCCGTGGTGGACCATGCGCTTGTGTCCAAACAGAACATCGCGCGCATGGCGGCGGCGTACCGGTCTAACAAGTAAGGAAGCAGGGGGGATCAGGAAGAGGAGGAGGGAGGAGGGAGGGGGAGGAGGGAGGTGGAGGAGGGAGGAGGGAGGAGGAGGGAGGAGGAGGGAGGAGGAGGGAGGAGGGAGGAGAAAAGGGTTGGTGTGGTGGTCCTGGGTTAGTGGGCAAGAGGGGTAATGGGGCTGTGGTGGAGGAGTATCCGCTGACCTCCGTCGGCCCGTGATCCCTTCAGAACAGCGGCATCGCCTCCGGGTTCCGACGGACAAAAAAGGGGGGGCTAGGGGGGTAGGAGCTAAGCCGAGGCGAGGTCAAACAGACGTTCTGGACACCTGTCGTGTGTGCGAGTATGTACGTACGTATGTATGTATCTGTGTGTGTGTGACTGGCCTGTCATGTGTATGTGTGTGTGTGTACCCGCCGTAGGAATGGATGTTTGCGGTCACCATTGATTGCGGACCCGCCCGCCTGCCCGTCCGCCTGCCGGTCGGCTGGTCGGTCGGCGCACCGGGGTGTGTGTGTGTCTGTCTCTTCAGGAAGAGATGCCCATGATCTGAATGGTGCAGACGTGCTTCGAGCCATCGGGCTCGTGTGTACATGCCGTACGGTGGATGCCTTGCGGTTTATGCTGGAAGGTCCTGTGTCGTATTATTGCTGGCCAGGGTTGAGTGGGGGATCTGTTCCGTGCCGTACCGTGCCGTGTGGGTCGGGTCCCTGCGCAGGGCGGCTGGGGGCGATGGTGACGGCGACGGCGATGACAACGGGGACGAAGGTGTAGTTACCGCCGCCAAGGCCAAGGCCAAGGCCAAGGCCAAGGGCAACCCTGGCGGCAAATCGCCCAAGAAGGCGGCTGCTACTGCTACTGCTACTGCGGCGGCAGCAGCAGCGACCGCGAAGAGAAAAGGAGCCAAGTCCTCGGGCGCAGCCACTGCTGGCGCCGCAGCTACTGCTACTCCCACTGCTACTGCTACTCCTACTGCTACTGCTACTGATGCTGTTAAGGCCGTGTCCTCCGGACCCCGGGGAGGCAAGCGGCAACGAACCATTTCGGAGACCCTCACTCACGCTGCCACCACTGCTACTGCTACTGCCGGAGGGACGGCGGGCCCCAGCAGCAGCAAGGCCACGTAAGAGAGACCGACAGACTGACATACAGACGGGCAAGAGAACCAACGGGCAGAGAACCAATTGAACAGATAAACCGAAACACCGATGGGCGGGTGGGCACCCACCGGCCAGGTGGGTGGGTAAGACTTCACAAACCGACAGACGGACGACTGACGAACAGACTGATGGACAAACGTATGGAAGGACAAACAGACAGATAGACAGACAGGCAGAGGGACAGACAGACAGACAGACGGACAGACCAATGGACAGAACGGCCTTTCAGAACGGCCTTTCAGATGGACAGACAGGCAGATGTTTTGGCGACGTGTCCTGTGATTGCTGTGGCAGCAGCATGGCTTAGCTCCCATGTCTTTTGCGGTGTATGTTTTTTATTGCATTATTGTAACACAACAACGCACTCAGCCACTGACTGTGGCCATTCTGTCGACTGCGCCACGCGCTGCCGCTTTAACCCTCCTCTTGTACCTCAACCCCCAACCCCCCATGGGATGGGTATGGGCGCGGCGCATAAGGCAGCAGTCTTCAGTATAAAAATGGGAGGCAACTCGCAAAATGCCCGGTTCGGTGTGGTGCGGTGCGGTGCGGGAGGGGGGTGGTTGTGTTGTCTTGTCTTGTGCTTGGTCGCAGAGAGAGGCGGAGGAACGCGCTGTTTGAATCGCCCTAGGGCTCCTTGACGGTTCAGAATGCGTTGGTGCTTCATTAGGCAACTCGTCCACCCACGCCTCTAAATGGCTGTTGGCGGATCCGTGGATCTGACTGCATCACTGGTGGTCGTGACTGTACCCCAACACTGTTACTTGTACGACTGTACGACTGTGGAACCTCATATTTCTCTCGAACATCCCCAAGAGAACCCTAATGTTGGGGTAGATGGGCTCTGTGTGCTAAAGAGCAGCGGTGTTGTGTACGGCAAGGACTTGGGCGACGTGGGAGTGGGACAAACAAATGTGAGTGTGTGTGTGTGTGTGTGTGTGTGTATGTGTGTGCGTGTGTGTGAAAGAGTTTGAGTGTGTGAGAGAATCTGACTGAGTGAGTGTGCATGTGCACGTGCGTTATGGTGCCGAACAGCACTCCGCTGGCATTTGCAATAGCAGGGGCAAACAATCGTGACGGCGTTGGCGAATGTTGGTTGTGGCCGCCGAGAGGAGGAGGGTGTGTAGTGTGGGTGGCGAAAGGCAGCAGCAACAGCAGCAGCAGCGTCCTGCGGGCAGCTCGCACGAGCATAACCAAGTCAGACAGCCACCAACACCACTACCAACTACAACACAGCATACAGCACAACTAATTCGATTCGATTCACCGCATCTTTCGCAGCGGGGAGGGTGTCAGGGTTTTCAGCAAAAAAACGATTCACAGGTTCCCCCGCGCCCCCTTGTGATGTGATGTGATGTGATGTGATGTCGGGTTTGGCGCACGTATACGTGCACGCACATACACATACACACACACGGGGGGGTGGGGGGGGAACGGACTATCCCTCCCCTGAGTGAGGGGGTGTCCGGGGCGGGGATGTGGGCGGGGGTGATGTGGATCGTGCGATGATGCATGCGGCGGCATCGGGCCCATCTGTTGCAGGAGATACCCCAAGATCACTCTGCGTGCCGTACGCCGCGTAGGAGGACTGAAGGGTTCTGTAGCGTATTGGTTGATGGCTATGCGGAGATCGGAGGCCTTTGTGGATGCGGTCTACGCACCGCCGGCGGATCAGCTATTCTCTGCGGTTTCAATTCCTTTTAAAGTCTGTGACCCCGGGGCACGCCTAGTAAGACTAGTATTGGTTATTGGGGGAGAGGAGTCGGGTGGACAGAGAAGGGAGTTGAGCAATCTTGCTCGTCGACTGCTATTGCTGCTGGCTGGCCGGTTAACTTGCTGTGTGAAGAGGAATTTATTTATGAAGAGCAGACAGGATAACAGCGGTAACTGTTGTCAGTACCGACGTACGCAAGCTGCTTCACCCGACCGTATGTTCGTACGCTCATCATAGCAAACTTGGGTGCATTCGATGAAAAGAAGTCTTCGCTAGGGGCGTCTGCTTTGGATAGTGGGATTGTTTGTATCTTTAATGGGCTTTAGTATGTCGGAGTTTAAAGGATAGCTGACTTTGCCAAGTCTGCGAGCCCTTCTGGCGACTGGCGCTTAATTGAAGGTACCTATCCTCAGAGATTCTTATGTTGTGTACATATTCCTCAAAAATGTCGAAGAAACCCATTCTTTGTCTTAGCCATGGCACTTAGGTGCACCTGCTGTGCACCTGCCTTGCCCCATAAAACGAAGCAATCTGCTTTCTGGACTGCACTCTTCTTTATGTCACTTAAATCTTGGAAGGTAATCGAAAGCACCGGCCAACCCCAAGGCACTTCGCATGACCAACTGTCCGTCCTCGCATGGCAACATAAACCGCACAAAAAAATGACACATTTTGTTTACGTACGCAAAGGCTACCAAAATAAGCATATCCATTTCGTAGAAACAGGCTCCTACCTTGTCGGCCCTCCACAGAGACAGCCTGTTTCTTTAATGCCTCCTTCCATTTAACCATTTGTTTCTTGACTGAATTCGGATGGATAAGTTTCTTGACTGAATTCGGATGGATAACCATAACTTGTTTCCCTGGCAGCATCCGGTTCAAGGTCTGCTAGGCCAAGGCATTAAAACCGCGTTATAGTTACAGCCTGCAGCATAGTGACATTACATAAGAATCAAAGCTTTGCAAAATACTTAGGCGACAAAGCGGGGTTGATGTAAAATTCTTCTCGTAACGTTGTACCGAGAATCCGTACCGGGTAGCGGCATCAGCCAGTTTGAGCACGTTCCGCGTCTAGGCTATTGCAAATTGTGTTCACAAAATATGATGGGGCACATTGTGCATAGATGATGCCAGCTTCCACCCCGGTTAATTACCAGTTCTAGTAGTAAGCCTGTGGAAAGCAGTCATAAGTCAGCCGCGTGGCGAGGTCGTTCTTTCCCAACATAGGATGCTCAATCGAAAGGGTGCCATGGTTACGCCACCAGCCTTTGGGGTCGCCAGGGCCACAAACGAAGGCATGTTCATACGCCGCGTCAGCGCTTTCAACGACGAATCCAAGCGTGCATCCGCCGACGAAGTCAGTACACCCGACTGGACTTCAATGGATTCAACCCTCCGCGGTGTTTTTTGGTCGGCAGACAATCTCGGTAACGTCCAAAATCAGCATCAGCAACGAAATGGACCTCACGCAACCGGTGGGGCCTCCATCACCCACCAACACCTCGACAGTCCTAAGAGTAGCTTCATAGGAACACACGCCCGATGCACGGGCGGCGGCACGGGCGAGGCCGGACCGTCCTCCTCGGGATCCTTCCCCCGAGTGGGTTTCGGCTGCGATCCAAACAGCGTCCCGCAGTCCGTGTCTCCCCCCTCTCACGCGCGCAAAGCCAACCAGAACCTCCTCGCCCGTCAGCTCGCGGAGCGAAACCTCTACTCCCGCTCGGTGCGACGATCCATAGAGTGCGTTGCCTCGCAATTGCGCACCCGCGATATCACCCCCCTGCAACACCAGCAACTGCAGCAGCAACAGCAACAGCAGCAGCAGCAGCACCCACATAGCTACGGATACGGGGGCGCCACAACGCCGTCGTCCCATTCACACCTCTCCAACAGTAACCACCTCACAGTTGGAACCCCTTTCCTAACCACCGCCGCGTCTTCCGCCTCATTTCCCAGCAACAGCTCCATCCTCGCCTCCGCACCCTCCACTACCTCCACTACCTCCACTTCCCAAGCCACCTCCACACCCTCCACCTCCAGCTCCGCCTCCTCCGCCACCTCTTCCACCGTGGAAAAGCTGCCCAGCTTCATCCGCACACCGTCCGCTGTGCAAGCCGCCGCTGCTATCGCGGCGGCCGCAGCCACTGCAGCAGCGGCCGAGGCCGCCGCCAGCGGCCCGTTCGCCGCCATTGGGAGCAGCAATTTCGGCACTAATGGCAACGGCAACGGCAACGGCAGCAACAACAGCTTCTCCTCCTCTCGCCTTCCAGATCCCGCCGCCTCACTACCGCATTCGGCATTCCTAGTAAACGGCACAAACGGCGGCGGTACCATCGGTATGGGTTCCCCGTGGGTCGCCAGCAGTAGCAGCGCCAAGGAGATTGCTACAGCCTCCCCCTCCTCCGCCACCGCTGCCGCTGCCACCGCCGCCGCTAACCCCTCCTGCCTGGCAGGCACCACCACGGGGCGCGCCTTAACCCCGGTGACCGGAGTCAACCCCGCCCGCTCCAACCGCCACATCCTCCTGGGGGGTTCCCGACACCAACAGCATCAACAGCACCACCAACAGCACCACCAACAGCACCGCGCCACGGGTTCGTCAGGAACATTCAACTCGGGGAATGACCAGGGATATCAGGACCTGCCGGCCACACCTCGCCCCCGAGCAAGTACTGGCAGCATCGCGCTGGCAGGCAGTAGCAGCAGCAGCAGCAGCAGCAAGCATTTCTTGTTGCAGCAGCAACAGCAACTGCCGTACTATCCGCATCCGCCAACGCCGCCAACGCCGCCGTCCTTCACGCCACGGCTCACGCCCAGTCAGGGCCTTATCCACCTTTGGGCTGGGGCACCCCCGCATATGCGGCGTGGCGAGTGGTCCATGGGGCAGTACGCCATTGCACGACAGTTGTACGGCGGGTATGCGAGCTCCGTGTACAAGGTGTGTGTATGTATGTATGTATGTATGTATGTATGTATGTATGTATGTATGTATGTATGTATGTATGTATGTATGTATGTATGTATGTATGTATGTATGTATGTATGTATGTATGTATGTATGTATGTATGTATGTGTTTTCTCTGCCAAGGCAGCGAAATGGGGAAAGGGACGACGGACGGGATGTCGACAGACAGATGCACACGGGGCACATAAACCCGTGTGTTGTGAAGGGGGGTTATTATCGAGGGGAAGAGGGGGAGGGAGGGAGAGAAGGACACTTCCTGCAGGTGGGCGTGAGGAGAAGAAAAACACACTGCACCTCGGCAGGGTTTTACTGCCACTTTTGCCGTACATTCCACTACTCTCCCTTCCCCCCAGATATCCTTCTCCTGAATCCAGATCAGGCAGCTGCTACTGCTGCTGCTGCTGCTTCGTTTTAAAACCCCACTGACTGACGCACTGGCCCCGCAACTTAATCCATCATCCGCGCGCGTGCGCGCGCGCGTGTGTGTGTGTGTGTGTGTGTGTGTGTGTGTGTGTGTGTCTGTGCGTATATGTGCGTGTTTTCCTGACATGCTTCCCTCCCCCGCAACCCCGCCCACAACCCTCGAGTCGCCTCCAGGCGAAGTGCATGCGATCCGGCCAGGATGTGGTCCTCAAGATTTACACTCTGAGCAGCTTATCGGACTTCCTCCGAAACCAAGTACTTCGAGAGCTGGACATTCACTCCCGGCTGGACCACCCCCATGTCGTACAGCTGCTGGCGGCATTCCGGGTGCGTGGTATTGGGTTTAAATTGTCATTTAAATTGAACAGAGCCACGGGGCGTCCGGGTTGGAGCCGTCACAGTAAGCAGCAGTATACCACTCACAACCGACAAGCCAAATCGGTAGTTATAGTTCAGAATTTTGAAGTTGTGGTACGTAGAGTTTTCCCTTCTTCTTGTTTTATATCTTTATGCTTTCCAACGTCTTACGTTTTTTATTTCCCGTCCTTTCTCACCTCATCCAAATAAATCTAGGAGGGTGACAAGCTCGTCCTGGTGTTGGAGTACGTGAGGGGGGGTTCCCTGGACCGCGCTCGTCGCAAGCTCGGTGGCCGCATGAGCGAGCAGCAGGCAGTTGAGCTGGTGATGGCGCCCTTGCTGAGGACACTGCAGTACCTCCACACCCGGGCCATTGTGCACAGGGATATCAAGCCGGTGGGTCGGGCGGGTCGGGCGGGGGGGGGGCGAGGTGGATGAGGTGGTGGGAATGATGTCCCCGGGGTTGCGGAGCCGGGGAGCACTCAGTCTTTATATCGCATAGGGATCTATCACAGTTGCCAGGGGAGGAGAGAAGACCCCTTTGCTGTGACGTACGATGTGACGTACGATGTGACGTGCGAAGTGACGTGCGATGTGACGTGCGATGTGACGTACAATGTGACGTACGATGTGACGTACAATGTGACGTACGATGTGACGTACGATGTGACGTACAATGTGACGTACGATGTGACGTACAATGTGACGTAGGGCTCCGTCTATCCGGCATGGAAGCGTGTGGGTGTGTACGTCCACCCGCCCGCCCTCCCCCGATGTGATGTGGAGCCCGCGCTGCGTCAATATAGTCCCCTTCCCCCCTTTCCCCCCCCTTCCCGCCCGTAGGAGAACCTGCTCTTCACTTCGGACTGGAAACTCAAGGTCTGCGACTACGGCGTGTCTGTATGTCTGTCGGAGGAGCGGGCGGTCACACGAACCGGCTCCCGAGATTACATGGCGCCGGTAGGGGCTTGGGCCTGAGACCCCGGGGGGTTGCGGAGAGAGCGGGGCTGTGGAGACGGTAGTGGGTTTTTAGGGAGCGGGTGCCTTGCCACTGTGTGTGTGTGTGTGGACTTTTAAGGGCTGCGGCTGTTGTACCCGTAGCGTTTGCAGCGCCTGTCTCTTAGCTGCAACCGCTACCGGACATTGGATCGTTGCGGCTATCCCCCCGTGTTGTTATCGCGTGTTATTTGTAAATGTGTTTTTGCATGTATGTGTTTGGCGCCTAGGGCATCGGTTGCCTTTGGGGCAAGTAACTTTTAGCTTTTAGTTTGGCATCATGTACCTGGACGTTCTTGCCACCCAGCACATCCTTTTCCTTCGCCTTTTCCTTCTCCTCAACCACCTCCTGCTCCTCCACCCCTACATCCCCCCC